CCTGTTTTTGGTACAGTCCAAAATCCACCTCCTTTCCCATGCCCCCCTTTTGTGTAACCACTTTCCTTCCCCCCTGTACCCTTCAGTCACCCATGAAACTTATTTTTAGTACCCACAAAAAACCACCCCACCCCCTTCCAACAAGCCACCCCTTCCTCTAACCACCTCCGCCACCCTTGAATCCTCCCTGCAGAGCCCGTTTATGGTGTAGTCCAGAAGCCGCCCAAGCAGAAACCTGAAGTGGCTCCGAGGCGGCGGAATAGCGCCCAGTCTCAAGGCTCTAAAGATACAGGCGAAGGTACAGACAGACACTCACACGCTCTGCCTTTTCTTCAAAATCATCTTGGCTTGCTGTGTGGCACATATGCATTTCTTCACACTAGTCACCATTCATCAGTAAAACGTATGACAGCTATTCTCACAAACCTGGCCAAATCCCACACTGTGGCTGTGTTGAAATGTTATGGCTTTGACTTGGAATGACACGCGTGCCAATGGAGGTGTGTGTTAGCCCTAGCCAAAGCCGTTTGATTTTGATGCAGCCTGAGTCTGGATGGAATATGACAAAGTCATCTGATTCATCTGATTGGTGGGTTTCTTTTGGTCACATGTCACTGAATTGTTTGTTGCTACACGTGGCATGGCTGCACCAGAGAAATAGATGCTCTATCCCACGGTAAATAGTTCTTCTATTCCATAGTCACAAGAAATTTCTTAACTTGTAGTGAGTCATGAATTTATGTGAGATTTTTTTCAGGCTGAATGGCTTTTTTCCCACAACTTTTTGACCACTTAACTCCAGAGAATGTGTCGGCATACAGTGATGGTTGATGACAGTTTTGTGGGGAACATGTAAAACACATTAAACAGTAATTTCTATCACACCTCCATGTACATGTATACAGGCTTGTGGATACCATTGGTTTTGTTTGTTTGTTTTTGTTGTATTTTGTTGGTTTGTTTCCTTTCGGAACTTCATTGATCATCTTCAACAGCAACTTGACAAACTCAACACAAAAGGGGCTTCATTTTCCAGTGGTCAGTTTTTGGTTTCATTCTTGAATCAGCTCGACTAGTGGTTCACTTTTTGTTTCTGTGGGCCTGTTTGTTTCAGAGACAGTTCGTTCCATCCATCACCATCCATTGGGATCTGGTGTAAGTGGAGCAACTTCGGATTGCTGATTGTGATCAGGATCCGCGTGAAACGAACAGGCTCTGTATTACAGTAATGTGTAGACCATGGGAACACCAGCTCACGTTTGCGTTCGTCATGCTTTATAAACCCATGATGTACGTTAGTTCATTCATTGCCACAAATCAGTGATCACCGGCAGTTGCATGCTGTTCATTTCTTCTAGCTTGTTAATATTGCGACCTGACTGTAAGTTTTCTGCACCTTAATCTACAACTTTGGCCATGCATTTTTAGCAGCAGATTATAGATTGGAAGAACGGCGAAGCCACGACATGGGTGTGGAGTATTCACCGCATTGACAGACTTGTACACGTAGCTTACTTACACAGCCTTTCCTTCATTGGTGATTCAGAAGGACCATGTGTGCTTTGACTTCAATACATCCATTTTTTCCTTTCGTTTTTGGGGATTTTAGGGGTTTCCATTTCTATCATTCCTGATTTGTTGCATTTGCAACATTGGTGACCCATGTTTATGGGAAGCGTGGTCTGCAAGCTTCATCATTCACCTCCATGACCTGCTGTGCTGTGGTGATGAGAAAGCTTTCATCCAGGTGTTGACCCTTCCGTCGTCATGGTGTGAAACTGTAGAAACATGCAAATCAGAGAAAGATGTTGCGGTGATATTTCCTGGCAAAATGCCATTTGGAGCAACTCCATGGATTTTTGGATACTGATGAATTCTTTTGTACAGCCAGAAGGTTGACAGAAACGTTTGTGTGAACTTTACAAGGGCAGTTTGTTTAAGCTCTCGTGAACTTGAATTTTTTTTTTAACAGTTCTTGCACCGCTTTTGGGTCAGGTTAGTGGTCAGAGGAAAGTGTGTTTTGTACACAAGCGAAAAATGGATGTTCAAAAATTCGTGACCCTTGTTCACTCACACAGGGTAGATGCTGCATGTTTACAAACTACTTGAGTCGCCAGACTCTTGAGTCTGAGCCTTGAGTCATGCAGTTCCAGTCCGAGTCCTGAGTCATGCCGGTTGAAGAACTTTCCAAAACGTGAAGAAAGTACCGCCCGTTTTCTATGTTCCACGTTCCATGGAGTTGTATTCTTACACCTTTTTGCCGTTGCCGTGGGCATGGGCTTTGTGCATAGATGGCAGAGGGCGCTTTTCGATCCCATCAGAGCCAAGTACATGTACATGTAGATCATCATCACATGCATGCATTTGCCTGAGTAATTTAAAACATGGCACTGCCAATTTTCATTTCGATACTGGGCCATTTTGACGCACGGAGAAAGCACCCCTGCCCTCCCCAAGCGAGTGCACTCTCCAAAAGTGCCATTCGGGTGCCCTTTGGCGACAGCAACCTATGCACATTTTTGACCACTCACTGCAGTTTAGATCTGTGCTCAAAGCCCATTTAGCTCTGCTTTGGTTCGAGGTCAGCTTAAAGGGCTGCTAAACAGGATGATGCAGAACTTTTTTTGTGTGAAATGCCTTGAGTGACACACAAAATAACCGAGTTTAAAATATTGAGCGGTATCAAGTGCAGTACGTTGGGCAAATACATTTGAATGAGCCCTGTTCCACGATTGCATATGCTAATTGTACCGTCTGACGTGCCTCGTGCATGGTTATCTGTGAGATGTTGACAGTGTGGAATAATCTGCACAGTTGAAGAAAACCGCTGACAGTTAGTTATAAAATGTTTGGTCTAGGCTGTAGATGTGTATATTTGTAGAAATATGCCAATAGCAACACTTTGGTAACGGTTTCAGTCCATTTAAGTGTTGGTGTCAATTTCCAAAGTCCGAGCTTGGACACAACAATTAGCAAACGGTTCTGCTTAACATCATCACGTTCTGCTTTAGCAGCTCTTTGACCTGCAATGGGATCGCCCCCAGGTGAACTTGTTCTACTAACCCGCTTCACTAAACCGTTGGATTTCTCAGATTCTTTTCGTCGTCGTTGCAAAACAGAGGTCAAGCGTAGATCACAGGAAGACCCCAGTCGTGCATCATCAGAAGAAGGTAGAATCTAAAAGGAAAAAAAAAGCTCTAACAAAACCCTGCATTGCTGAATAGTTCTCAAAGAAAGCACCCATGACCTGTTCCCTCGTATGTATATGCCACTACGGCTGTGAAAGTGTTTTTGTTTGTGGAAAGCTGTTCCCAATGACTGCATTAGCCAACGTGTTATGCGGTCTGCAAAAACCCTTCACATGATGAGCTTTGTCATTTGGGTGCGTATAAATTTCCAATTGTAATGGAGATGCTCTTGTCTTCAGATAGATTCCACTTATGATTCTATGTTGTCTACAACATGAATCTAGATTGTCTGGAATCACAAATTAAACGGTTTAGAAAACAGGGCAGTGTCCAGATTAATTTGAAGTTGGTATGTACTAAAATGACAAAGTTCACCACGTGAAGGGTTTTATAGGAGCAGGGTGTAGTACTTACATGCATTTTTCTTTGCGGTGATGAAGACACGTGTTATATTTTGCTGAAACAGGTGTGTGTAGTTGTATGGTATAGGTTTGAATTCTGTTTTTGCCCGGCAGGATTTGCACGATCGTGGAGTAGTCGCTGAAGAAAACTGTTTGTTTTATAATAATTTTTTCCTGCTGAAAATTGCACCCGCTTGTTAGCCTGGAGGACTTGGTTATAACCTTACAGACAGAGAAAAAGAAGAAATTTGCATTTTTTAAGTGGGCTCAGGAAAATTTGAAATGAAAGTGTTGGGAAATGAATAGCGTAAAAGGTAGGCCTGAAAATAGAAGACACTTGTTGGCCTGGGTGGGATTTGGACATGGGCCACGGAGGTACATGTACGTTGGGGTGAGGGTAGTACCATTCTGCCCGCCTGACTCCTCAAAAATCTGTTACCTCAGAGAAACACATGAAAGATCTCTATGTCAACCTTGCTTTATTAAAAAGATTATATTGTAACTCTAACCAATTTCCTTATGTTATGTTATGTTATGTTATGGGTAGAGCTGAAAGTTCAACAATGTGGCAGTTGTGCGCACTTTTCACTCTGTAGAGGCATTTTGATAAATTCTGTGGCATTGTAAAGAAAACAATCTTGTCCTGAAGTTTGCATGAAATTTTATTTCACAGATGGAATTCTGTTTTGAAATTGTGGTTTGGCAGTTTAAACTCGATGGTAACAGGCGCATGCTGATACATGTACATCACAATATGTGTACCCTTAATGACATCCCTTTCATTTGTGTTTCACAGTGCCACTGTCCTTCCAGTGAACTTGACATTTGTCTATGACTCACAAGTATTCAAGATACTCCATGACTCGCTTTGACATGTTGACTGTTGCGCATAATTTCACGGGGCGTTCCCGTTTGCCAAGAGTTGCATGCATGTGCACCAAATAGTTTTAGGTGTCTGTTTGAACATGAGCATTCTATAGATGCATGCCCCCCCATGCCTGCAGCGTACTTTTGTGTCCTCGGTGATGCCCGTTTACTATCCAAAGGTCTCTTATTTCCTATGAGTATACTCTGGCAGAATCCAGGACACCTGTTACTACGAGTGTACTCGTGTGCAGTCAACATGTTGAAAGCCATGTCTTTAGTTGTATTCATTTTGTTTCAATAGTTGAAGGTAGATCGAGATCTTCTCCATGACAGAGGTGCTGCAGCATGCCCATTGCAAATGAATCGCCGGTCATCTGCTTGCAAGTCACAGACTCCTGAGACAAATCAGATAAAAACCACTCCTTTCACCTCAATACTCGGGCAGTGACACATGGTTTGAAAGCAGCCAAGTATGCATGATAGAAAAGTCATGCTGTTAACCTTTTCAAACTAACACAGAGTGCGCAGAATAAAGGCTGTAGAAGATTAACTCCAAAAGGACGAAGCTTTAGTGCTTTAATTTTCATCGCTTTGATTTTGATTGTTACAGGCTCTTCAAGATGCTAAATTGTTATCTTCTTTTTCAGCTCGTGGGTACGCACTTGCCTGAAGGAACCTGCAAAATATGCCCTGCGGTGTTCATGAATGACCTGGTTATTGATGATTGAATTCCAATGTTTCTTCCTAACAGGGAGGCGTAAGCATCGTAGCCTGAGCCGCAGCCTGAGCCGTTCCTCGTCCACGCGCAGCTCAGAGGCTGAGGACGAGCAAGGTGGATCTCGGTTTGGCTTGTACCTGGTGCCCACCAACCGTTGGTGCAGGCTGATTATTTGAGCACCCTCATTGGTCCTTGTTGCAGGGGAGCATGGTATAAGGGCAAATGGTTAGCCCTGATTGGTCGGCAGAAATGCATAAATTAATCTAATGCAAGCTGCTCTTCCACAACTTGTTTTTGTGAGGATTGCGCATCTGTTTATTGACCCAATGTGCATGGGGAAAAATTTTCCTAACTGAAGAGATCGTCTCTTCGATGTCGTGCTGGCCAAGTTACCCACAATCCCTTGCGTGCTGTTCTGAAAACTTGTTATAGTGTATCAGTCTGTACCAGCGGTATTCGCTGAAACCGGTGGTCACAAGCGAAAGCCTTTTCTAGTTTTTTGTCATCTGTCATGCTCATAAACTGCTTTGTTTGGTTTGTTGATTACTTTTTTCATAATTCCATCAAACTTGGAGTGTTGCCAAGGCTGCAAATTAGACTGATGCTGTGTTAAACCTGTACACTTCAAGACCGTGCTTCAAGGTGTCTGACCAAAGATGTCAGCAATGCAAATAGTGGTCTCTCTTCCAGTTTGGTTCTCCCCTCAGCAGAAGCTGCTGGTCTATTGACTCTAGCTCCATTTCAAATTTGTGTTCAGTTTCATGGTTTGTCTTTTTTATGCTGTTAGTTTTGGACTTTTTTTTTTCATTGTTTGAGCGTTTGGCTGTCCATGCAAGCATTAGATATCCTGGGGTGTAAGGATACTTCAGGGTGGGTTTGCTACCATTTTTCATTGATGCTGGAAATAGGTTAAAAGGATTTAGACATTGTGCTGTTTTTGTGGTTGGGTCATTGTTTATTTTTTGTTGTTTTTTTTAAATTTTGTTTTACTTTCTTGGTTTTTGTTTGGTTTGTGTTTTAGCATTTGCTTTGATATGTTTTTGTGCCGAAAATTTCTGTCATGCTGTGCCGCACGTTAAATATTACATGTACACTGGACAGCAAAGGAAACTTGCCACTTCTGTCAAAGGCCACACATAAAAAAAATCACTCCATAGAAATAAAAAATGTTTGTACACAGGTATGCTGCAAATACCCCTTACTAATCACATGCCCAAAAGCAAGTGATTATCTTTATAACAAAGAAGAAATTGACATGCACAGGAACTTGGTTACTGAATTAAACGTCACTCACAAAAGCACTCTCCACCAAGCTAAAATGACCCATGAATGGAAAACATTTTAAACAACCAATGACAAAGTGAACAGCTGTTTTGTCAAAATGGTGCGCATGAGTGGTTTCTGTATAGGGATGCCATCCTTACAGACTATGCACACACGTTATTGAAAAGTAATGATTGTGACTTCTTTATTTTGTCCTGTGACGTTGATTTCTGCGCAAAACTTAAGGCTCATTCTGTTACATTCTGTGACTTTTAATTCAGTAACCAAATTGCTGTGCATGTCAATTTCTTCTTTGTTATAAAGATAATCACTTGCTTTTGGGCATGTGATTAGTAAGGGGTATTGCAGCATACCTGTGTACAAAATTTTTTTATTTCTATGGAGTGAATTTTTATGTGTGGCCTTTGACAGAAGTGGCGAGTTTCTTTTGCTGTCCAGTTTACATTGGATCTCTACTTGAAATTCATGAACATACATTTTCAATTCCTGGACAAGCCCCCAAAATTTGTCACCACTCCAACATTTGGCTATTCACAATTAGGAATGACAACCTCTAATCCTATAGGATGCACCAACAATGAAAATGAATATAAGATCAGTGTACTTGAACAGATGCGAAGAACAGCGACGACTCAATATTCATGTTTGCTAACTCATTCATTTTTTTTTAACAGGAGGGAAACAGTCCCACGCACACATGCAGTTTTTCATTTCATATTGGCTTTTACATTTTAAAGGCCAGTCTGCCGTGTACTAACGCTGCTTTCTTTTGACAGAGTACTTGTACATGTAGTTGCTTCACTCGAGCCACAGATTCAAGGAAAAGAGCTCAGTTTGTGGGGAAAAAATGGAAACCATTTCAGCTTTCTGTATTTTATTGATGGCCTTTTATTTTTTAAACTCTGTCATTGATTTTTATTGATATTTGAAGTGAGGTGAGAGGAGAAAATCAGGGGTGTGGTCATAGGTTGAAGGGGGAGGAATGTCTTTAATATTGGACCGTTGGTCTTTTAATTTGATGCTTTCATCGAAGTATGAAATGAGATTATCCAAATCTGACTGAAACACCTCGGGCCAAGTTTGATGTTGACCATTTGCGAATAATTCATTTTGCCTGGTACCCAGAACACATTTCAGGCACGGGTTGCCGGGCAATTTGGCCAGTGGCTCTGAAATGGTTGCTTGTCAAACTTGGTCTTTCTTCCTCGTTTCTCTCAGATAGGGTCGGAATATTTTCACCCGCAGCTAAACCTCGTAATGGATGAAATCATCCCCTTGAAGCGAAAAACTTTTTTTAAATTTTTTGTCTCCGTAGAAATGCTGTAATGTAGTCTTTTTGTTTCTATACATGTACTGCTTGTTAAGTTTATTTTTTCATCGGAATGCAACTTTATGGAGTCGTAATGCTGTAGATATTGTCTTAGCCAATTTCTTTGTTGGTCGAAAATTGAGCCAGATTCATAGTTTTCGTTAAACTGCGGCTGTTAAGTTTGTTAATAAGCCACATTTTTCTTACTTGGCGGATTATGTAACAAAACGAAAAAGGAACTTGGCAGTGTTGGAGGACTGAATCAAAAATTAAACAAAGTTCACATCCAAATTGAGGTCAATGGTACTCTCAGTCAGGGGTGAAATTCGCCTGTTTTTTGTTTTCGTGATTTTGAGATTTTTTTTAATCAAGATTTTCCTGATGTCATTGCTTTTCAAACAGTCTTTCTGTTTTTTAAAATCTTTCTACGGGCGATTCACAGCAGTGGGCCTCCATGAGTTTGCATTGCATTGGCCAATCACAGCACACGAAATCTGTCAATCCTTTCCAAGTGCGTGTATTGGGTCGACAGATTTCGCACATTGTGATTGGCCAACGTGTTGCAAACTCTCGGAGGTGCACTTTCGTGAATCGTCCGTATTATAAAGGTGTTCATATGGGAGACAAGGGGTGTGCCATATGCCAAGTGTATACCGTTTGGCCCCACACCGCTGTTCGGCCCCCTAGACCTCCGGAGATTATTTTCTGGATATTTCATTTTGTGTCCGATCTCACCCCAGCTCGGTAGTTTGGTAAAACAGGGAGACTAATTGAATGCTAGCGACACCTCCAAGTAGCTGAAACTAAGGGAAAAAGGATGCAAACTGTTCATTTCATTGTTTCAATTTTTTCCCCAACATGCTTGTGGAGTAATCATTTTTTTTTACTTGTTTTTTTTTCCCATTTGGGCTGAAAACTGACAGTGTCACTTAATCCTAAAAGTAACTGAAGTGTGGCCTTATTAAAACAATTACACGTACCATTGTGTGCTCGGCAATTAGGTGTTTTTTTAGCAACTCTGGATAATTCTCCCACTGCAGTAGTTTCGTGTGTCAAATTGCTAGCTTATGCAGCCTGTATTAAGTTTTGATTTTGTTCTCAAAGCCTCTCCATTGAGCAGCCTACGTAGCATTGATTTGTCGAGAAATGGTATTGGCGTCTTACAGCCGTAGGTTTTAATTTGTAGGGATGGACGCTCCTGCATGTTCATCGCCGGATTGGTTAACCAGGAAGCAAAATAAAACCACTGCATTTGATTTGTATTGGTTGATTTTCTCTCCATCGAGGCCAGATTAAGAGTTCCATGGGCCCGAGGCACCAGGGTTCCATAGGCCTTTATTATAGTGCTTGCTTGTGACCGGGCCTTGCACCTAGTATGAAGCCAGGATACTAGTTCCCAAACAATAGCCTTGTTTTCAGGCCAGAAAATGTAGATCCAGTTAGCAAGGTGCATTCAGGCTTTTCTGATCTTATTTCCGGCTCTAGACAAGATCCTGTCCCTGCTTGTTTCCTGATTATCGAAAATACAGAGACACTGAAAGGTTTCTTGAGTACATGTAGGCATGGATTTCTGTGCTAGTGGTGTACTTGCAGTGATTTTGACAACACTCAAACTTTCTCCAAGGCCCCTGAACTTTTTGAAGGCCTGAGGTTTGTTGCCTACTGTGCCCATTGGATAATCTGGCTTGGTTGGCGTGTTGTGGTCACAGTATCGGCAATTCTCCTCTGTCGGTCATTTTCATTTTCCTCCTTCTTTCCCCTCAGACAATGTAATATAAATCGGTTTCTGGTTTCTTCTTTACAGGAATGATGGATAACATCATTTATGACACAAGTGGGCCGCGGAATGGTAAGAAGTTTGTGGAGGCCGTGGCAATGCAAACGGTCGTGCCTATGATTGAAATCACAATAACATGAAAGGATTTATAACGTGTGTTTCTCTCATTCATCCAGCTACTGGACGTATGTTGTGCCCTTGGGCGGGTTGTTTTATCTCATGTGCCTCTCTCCTTTTCTGAATATAAATGGGCAGCGTGACCTGCGAAGTGCTTGCCATCCCGTTCGATGAAAAGAAATACGCTCAGCAAGGGCAGATGCAGTACCAAACCTCTTTGGGGGGAGGCCAAATTATTTATTAGGGCCCACATTTTGGAAATCATGGCCTTTGAGGCTTTCCGAGGGTCCATGCTACATCTTGGTCCTTTTTACAAGATTGAGGAAGGAAGAAAGAGGAGATTTGACCAAAACAAAACTGCCTTTCATTAGCTTTGGAAAAGGCCAAGCCCCGTTAAGCCCCCCCCCCCCCCGATCTGCCCTTTTCTGTTATTCAGTTCAGGAAATTAGAGAGGAGCGCCAGTGTGTAACCTACTGCACCTGTATTCTTAAGAACTATACTGTCTTTTTATGTTCTACACTATCCCCGGGCCTCTGGCTGTTATGGTTTTGAACTTTGTCCTTTCTCAACCCAAGGTTCTGCTCACTATGCTTCCACACAACTCTTTGATGTCCACTCAGGTGACCATATGGTCCGCAACCCCATCTACGATTCAGCAGAGGGCACGCCCACAGCCCGCCCCAAACCGGCCGTCCCACCCAAACCGGTAAGTTGGCCTCGGTGTCACTCCAAACACGCCATACGCTCTTACTAATGCCGGTAAAGAATAAAAGCGCCAGAAGAGTTCACTGGTGGTTTGTCAGTCAAGGGGAGGGAAGCAAGCACGGTGTCATCGCCAAAACATTATATTCCAAAGCCTGTCAACTATTTTTGACTCAAAAGTTGAGCATTTTCAAATTTGATAGTTGACAAATAGCATCTAATATACTGTCCATGGCATTTAGAACCATGTAGGACTCCTTCATCATGAGAGAAAAAGTGAAAGTGTGGTGCTCTCACGACAGATATTCTTGTCTTCACATACTGAACTTAGGCACTGTTGAAAAAAAAATAGCAAAGTCAACGTTTGGTCTTCTATACCTAATTGTCCTTGATTGCCATAATCTTAAACTTACCAGTGAATTTGATTTCCAAAATTAATCCTTAAAAAAGGCTTGCTATTTGTTCATTTTGAAGCACCTTTACGGCGGGAAGACCAATAGTATTTTTTATTTTAAAAAACAGCTGGCAAAATAGTTTCCATCTTTTGTAGATCACATGGGCCGAAATATTCTTGGGGCTTTCCATAGAATTCAGGAAAATTCTACATTTGTGATTGTACACTCTGAAGTTCTGTATCAATGCATCGTACTCAAAGATGGGACCATCCTTTTCTTTTCAGTAACCTTTCCGTGTTCACTAGATTTTTTAAGGACTGAGGTTTTGGTGTTTTTGGAATGAAGGAAACGGGTCTGTGTAAACTAGCTGTGAACGGTTTATGTTATCCAAGTTCAAGCGTGGCTCATGGTTTGACTAACCGGGCTTGCTACATGTAGGTGGAGGCCGTCCAAGTAACCGGTTTATTATTTACTCTGCGTTTGTTTTTCAGTTCTACTAATTTGGTTTACTTGGCTCGGGAAAGTTTGAGGAAAATGTGCTTGTTGTATTTAAGCTCTCATAAACATGCCTGGTGTAGACATATATTCTTCATTTGTTTGCGATATCTCCTTAGTATTTTGCGTTCCATTTCTTCTGTTTTTCCGGATTTTTTGTAAAATGGAAGAGTGAAAAACATGTTCTTGTTTACTGGAGAGAATCAGATTGATACGACTTACCTCGGGCCCCCAAACTTTTATCATCACGTTGTTCCAGAGAAACTTCAGTTTTATTTGAGAGATTCTGAGAGAAGTCATGAAACTCGCGTGACAGTTCAAAAGCTGCTGTCCTTCATAAATGCCAACAGTACGACCCTGAATATTGAACTTCAGTGCAGAGACAAACAAAAACTTAACTGACTGCACAGAGCATTTTTATTTCTTCTACATCGAGTGCACATCACGCATTTGAACATAGTCCATCACATGAACTAATTCATCAAAGCAGAGGAGTTGGCCATGGCAAAAGCCTCACAATAGTCATGAAAATGGTCAACAGAATATTCAGTAGCAAGTCCAGTGTTAAAAAGGGCAGTTTTATTTTCTTGTTTTTATTGTTGTTTTCTTGTTTTTATTTAAGTGTAACCAACAAAAAAGTTGATTTCTGTGAAAAACTGTTTGCTTCCTTCCTGCTCTGTCCCGGTATTAAAGCTGAACATGGCTCATTACCAACAAGTTGTCGACAAACTTAGCAAACCGCGAGACCCCCACCTCGGGGGCGGAGCTGGATTGGTCCGACCTAACCACCTCCCCTTCACCGCCAACGCCACGACGGCCCCAGGCAGGCACGGGCACGCCCCCCGGGCGCCTTTGGCCACGCCCGAAAAGGGGGTGTTCTCGAGCCCGGTGGAGGCGCTAAAGCACGCCTTTGGTGTTGGGGAACATGGCAACTCGCAGGATGCTCATTCCAGAGGGATGGTAGGTTGCAGCCAAAACAAGGAAGAAAAAAAAAAAAGAAAGAAATAGCAAAGAAAAAGGGTTGTGCTGGCTTGTAGAGTTACCTGACTATAAAAGGATGCATTATTAACAAAAGGATGCCCACAATTGCAACGTGATTATTGTTTTAGGCTGGTAATTGTGTGTTAATTAAAAGTGCCCCCATTTACAAGAGCACAAGATGGATCGGTTCCCACGCTTCCGAAAGGCAGTATCTTTCTTGAACAGTTTCGCACTAAATCTTTTACTTTTTTAATTTTCGTAAAACAAGATAAGAGGATAGACATTTGTTGCACAGCTGAGTTTCCAGATTTTAGTGCCTCAAAAAAAAATTGATTGTTTAAAAACAAAAGTACCACCACTGAATCTTGTAAAATCAAGTTGCGTACCCAATGAAACAAAACCCAAAAAGTTAGGAACTGCACTTTGGAAACGGTAAACAAAATTGTGATGTGGCATTGGCATCTGGTCAATAAATGTGAGGAATTTTGAGACGGCTGATTGGCCATGTGTTCTGTGAACTTTAGGATTGATGCACGTGTCTGGGATATCAACCAAGATTGACATCACAGAATGTTATGATGGACACACAAGGGATTGTGGGTAAAACTGAGCAAGCAATCAAGACATGGCATCAGAATTCCTGAAAAGTACAAGTTGACAGACGATCCAAAGATGTAAAAGGGAAAAAAGACATGTTGCCTGTGATCGTCTGAGTGATATACAAACATCCTTTTGTTAATATTGTGGGCAGACCCTCATCTAACACAGCTTATTTCCACAACCATGAAAACAAAAGCAAACTAACCGTCTTAGTTGCCATTACTAATCTCTTTAGTTCTAACACTGCAACCATTAACAATCACGCTTTAGTTTACTACTACAAGCAATTTCATGCTTCGTTTTTTTTCATGGGTCTAACCTACTGAGAGTTGGCTTTTGCCGCAACTGCCGTAGTTTTTTTTTTTTAATTTTGCAACGGATGCTTTGCATTGGTGATGGGCAAGCAGTGCTCATTTCTAACCATTAAACTTACGGATTCGGTCCCTTACGTGTAAAAAAACGGAATATTTTCTTTGACTTCGGAAGGTGGTGTCTCTAGCAGTGATTTTCGTTGTGTTTTTAAATCCGATGGTGAGTTTGTGGTTTGTCAACAGTTTTCAACCACTAATCTGAAAACAGGTGTTTGCACAGTTTGTTGAAAAGTAAAAAAAAAAATTAAGTAAGTGAACTTGTGAATCCTACCGACAACCCATGGTATAGAGTATTGAAGCAAATCAGTCACGCTCAGAGTTGTAAGAGGCGTGAAAACCAGCACACGAACCATGTTTGCTCTACACTTCCCGTCCCAAGTAACGTTGGGCTTTGGTACTCTATAGGGTAACTGAATATTTTTCGAATCAAACCAGAATCTTTGGTCCTGATTGGTCGATCCATGGCAACCAACCATGCTGTGTACTGTAGATCCGTTACCAAGGCCTTTACTACAGGCCAAGCCTTTATTCCAAGACTAGTTTATTGCTCGCCTTGTGTGCAGTGAATTCACAGCTGCACATTTCAATGTGAATAGAAAGGTGTGGTGTACGCGCAGTTTGCTTGAACATGAATGACTGATTCTTGTTGAATATCTTGTCTGCTCCGAGTAGAACAAAAGAGGGTGTTTTTTGGGTACTCACCGCATACGCACGCCAGGAGGTGCGAGTATATGCGCGCGTGACACGGAGCACGCCGAGTACGCGTAACTAATTTACTCCGGCTTGTATGGTCTTTGCGTACACGCAGAACGCGTGCAAGAACCCGCTTGTAATCACCCGTCTTTATTTTGCCGATGGGGGTGCACTTCAGCTCGGGGCAAATATTCTGATATTTGTCACAGTGTACCAATAAGTCATGTTGCATAGACTTTGAGACTCCTACGTGTGGCAGCTCTTGCAACGTTGGTGTCTTTTATCCACTTTTGGTGTTAATACTTCGATTCTTCATCATTTCTGGGAATGACACCAAGGATTCCTCAGAAGTGCTCGAGGCGCTGTACATGTACATTTAGCTTGGAAAACCCTGTAGAGAGGAGACAGAAGAAACTCAGTACAGTTTTACAGATGGGAAGAAAACTCCCCGATGAGTATTCTCGGTGAACCCATGGAGTCATGTAGGACTGCAAACCCTGTTTACGTGTTGTCCTGGGTGGGATTCGAACCCAGGCCATAGAGGCAGAAGGCAAGGAAAAATCCAAGAGTGTTCTGGATCAGAACCACAAAATCATGAGGGGCTAAAAACCGAATACACATGCTGGCTTTGGTGGGATTCAAACCCAGGGCCAGAGAACTTCGCAGAGCACTTGTGTTAAGAGTAGCAGAGAACCTTCATAAGGTAGCTTTGATAAAATGACCTCAGTGTTTGGGGAAAATCTGGGGCCAGCACCCAGTACTGAATTAAGTCGGTAATGACAACCGTATGTGACACAGTTGGTGACCATTGTCCCCTTTATCATGTTTGTGAGAGATTTCAGTTATTTTCGTGATAATGAGCTTCACTGTGTTCTTCACAACGTGCACTGTACAATTTACGGTCCCTGACCAGATGCTTAGCAGCGGCAACGGCTGCCAATGTTTGGGAAATTGTGTGATCACATGGTATTTTGATGTCATTTGAATACACCCAAAGCCAGTACACGACGAGCATTTAATACAGAATCTCACATGCGACAGCCCTCACGTTACTCCCCTGTATGGTACAATAGTGACCTTACCTCTTCATTTTAATCCCCTTGTCAACTGTGTTTCCCCTGGAACTGTTGGTGGTGGTTTTTACATCATTTGTTTCTTGTCTTTTTGTAGAAATACTCTTTATAAGTACATTTGATGTGGTCTTTTAGATTTTGTTCCAGCACACTGAGTCTACATCAGTGTTGTCTAATCAAGAATAGTCACAAGGCCAGACACAAGACCATCATAAGACCAGTCACATGATCAGATACAAGACCAGTCACATGACCAGACAAAAGACCAGACACATGACCAGACCAGACACAAGACTATCGTAAGACCAGTCACATGATCAGTCACAAAACCAGACACAATACCAGACACAAGACCAGACACAAGACTGGTCACACGACCAGACACAAGACCAGACACAAGACTGGTCACCAGACTAGACACAAGACCAGTCATACAACAGCCATCAGAGCAGTTGCAAGAGTACATGAGACCAGTCACACGACCAGACACAAGACCAGACACAAGACCAGACACAAGACCAGTCACAAGACTAGACACAAGACTAGACACAATACCAGACAAAAGACCAGTCTCGAGACCAATCACAAGACTATATAGACACAAGATTAGACACGACTAGTCACAGACCAGTCACAAGATTAGACAC